CGACAATTTTTTGCGTGCATGTCTTGCATGGTCACTGTAGCACATGGAAAAAAATGAGCCTGTTTGGCAGATGCGAAGGAGAGACGTGCGCCCGAGGGTCCCCTCCGCCCATACCGAGACCACCCCCTTCCAAACCAAGCACCTGAGCGGTTTCACGAAATGCACCCAACTTTTGGCAGCGCGTGTGGGGCCCCGCCCGGGCACCCCACGCCAAAAATGAATGAAATTCGACAACGAACGCACGTTGCGTCACGTCCGGGCAGTATTTTTAGTGTTTTCGGCCCAGAAAATCATAGAAATTACATAGAGCCCCGAAACGTGTCATTTTTTTTGCGTGCGTGCCCTGCATGGTCACTGTAGTACGCGGAAAAAATGGGCCCGTTTGACGGATGCAAAGGAGAGATGCAGTGACTGTATTGACCCTACATCTCCTCCAAATAGAGTTAATTATAGACATACGCATATTAAAATTGAATTAGAAAATCTCGACCGGTGTAGGACAAAAGCACGACCGACGGTTATATTACGTCGGGTGGGTGTTGATTGCAAACTGATCACCGCGGGCCCGACGCAGTAAATATCTCCACGAGCCGTCGCTATCCGAGGGAATATTCCCGACAATCTCGGACGTCGGTGCCCAATCAACGTCGTGCGTGCCCTTTCCACCTCGTACGTGTCGACGATGCGCCCGATCTGGTCCCGCCCGCCGTCACCCCACACTGGGCGCCGTCAACGCCCGCCGTCACCCGCATTGGTTGTCGTCAGCGCCCACCGTCGCCCGAACTGGTCGCCGTCAGCGCCCGCCGCCACCCACACGGGTCGCCGTCAGCGCACGCCGTCACCCGCACTGCTCGCCGTCAGCGCCCGCCGCCGCCCACACTGGTCGCCGTTCAGATAGGTATATCTTTCAATTTGTTTCATTGTAATATAACATCTTAGCTGCATGCAATGTCACATAGATATTATTATATGCAGTATGGACAACGATGGCGTGATTGGATGTTCTGTAGAAAAGTGGGTTAGTCTTGTTAATAATTTGACACCAAGTCAGCGATTCACATTTTATGAAACGAAGATGGAGGGCATGTTACGAATACCTTCGGTGAAGATGCGTGATAATTTGCTTGCGTTTATGATTCAAGGTTTCAACCCAAGTACTATAAAATCCATGGTACAAGAGGCAGCCGAAAAGAAAGGGTTGATTTCACTGAGGCCTGATGATGTGTTCGCTATTTTTGGTTTGAAGAACGAAGGAGTGGATGTTTCTAGTTTTTTTAGTATGGACCAAGGGAAAGCAGTAAAGAAAATTCCAGTTAGTTTTGTTAACAAAAAGACTGGTAAAATCTTGATTGATGATCTCATTCAGAAGATTGTGAGAAATAAAAATGCGGACGATGAATTTATTCGGATCGCGTTTCTCGTCCTGTTAGGGACTATAATTGCACCAGTGTCTGATGAGTACATACCAA